TTATAGAGCAGGTACTGTGTGTCAGGCATTGTGCTAATCCTTTCTGTATACTGACAAACCTCCTCATAGCAAATTTATGACATAGTATTACTTTTAATTGCAAAAACCACAATCACATGTGCACCAACCTAATACTACTATTACGTCCATTTTACAAATGAGGAAACTGAGTCTTAGAGAAGTTACATGACTCACCCAAGGTCACACAACTAGTAAGTAACAGAGTTGAAAGGACTCCCATTTTCCTGTTTTCCATAGTAAGGGGAAGGGAGTGTTTAGAGCGAGGAAGGGCAGCTTTGTCCAAAGCCCTGACCCCACTGTCCGGTGACCTGGGCTCCTTGTGATAGCAAGACCCATCCTGACTCACACACAAGGGGGCAATTCCATCTTTATCTCAACCTACATTTATCATACACCTACTATGTGTCACACTCTGGGGACACGAGTCAAAGAGACGAAGTCTCTCCCATAGGAAACTCACAGGCCGGTGGGGAAGCAGCACTATAACTGCTGGGCCTTTAGGATCCACTGGTGCCCAGGGATGGGGCAGAGGCCAAAAAGTAGCATGCACTGCATTCCTACCTGTGCCAGACACCAGGGATGGCACATCTTTTACCTTTCCTTCATCACCTAGAGTAGATGTATTTGTGGTGTGATTACTCCACACTACACCATATATTCCATGACATGAGCCAAGTATCTCAGGGTATGGCACAGTATTTGGCATGAAATTAGTGCTCAGTAAATATTTTTAAATGAATGACTGAATAAAACATAGCTCCTGCCCTCGTGGAACTTGCTGTCCAGGCAAGGAAATCAAGATATAAATAGATGATTGCAACGTGGTGTGATGAATGCAACAGGAATGAGAAGACAGCCTCCATCCAGGGAGCTGTGCAAGGCATCCTGGGAGAAAGATGCTGAGGCCAGGTCTTGAAGAAAAAACAGTAGCTTCCCAGGGATATGGGGATGAAGGGCCCTTGGGGCTAAGAAGACAGCCCTCACAAAGGCAAGATGTGACTTAGTGGAATGAATAAGTGGATATACTGCTTGTTCCTTTCAGAAAAAAGACTGAGCTGGGCACAGTGGCTCACACCTGTAATCTCAGCACTTTGGGATGCTGAGGCGGGAGGATAGCTTGAGGCAAGGAGTTTGAGACCAACCTGGGAAACATAGCAAGACCCCCATCTCTGCAAAAGCTAAAAAAAAAAAAAAAATCCAGGCATGGTGGCATGTGCCTATAGTCCCAGCTACTTGGGAGGCTGACATGGGAGGATCGCTTGAGCCCAGGAGGTCAAGGTTGCAGTGAACCATGATTGCACCACTGCACTCCTACCTGGGTGACAGAGTGAGACCCTCATCTCAAGAGAAAACAAAAGAGAAAGAAAGAAGACTGTATGAGCGTCCAGGTCTGAGTGGGTTTGATCTGCCTGGGCCTGGGAATCTTACAGATGTGGCAGCCTTGCCCAGGACAGGACACCTCATCCCAAAGCTAGGACGCATACCTCTAGCATGTGGGTGAATGGAGAAACTCCACGTGGCTTCGTGGGGCTGAATTATGGGTGGGGGAGGTGAGGTGGAGGGAGGCAAAGAGACACAGCTGGAGATAGGCGCTGGGCCCAGATCCCAGGGGCCCTGACTGCCATGCCAGGGAGATTGGACCTTGTTCCTTAAGCAACAGGGGTTACTGAAGGATGCTGAGCAATCGAGTATGTATTCAATTTGTGTTTTAGAAAATGGCCCTGGCACGAGTGTGGAGGTTGGGTTGGGAGAAGATGAGCTTGGGGACAGGTACACCAGTCCCGAGGCTGGCGAGGGACTCAGGTGCTTCCAGTGGGCAGAGCAGTGAGGATAGCATGCAGGTGAGGAGAGACACAAGCGTGACATGGAATGGGCAGAACTGAGTGACCATTTGGCTGTGAGAGAGGAAAGAGGTCATTTAAGCTCTCAGAGTCTCAGTCTCTGCCTCTATGAAATGCAGATAAGATGATCTGCCCAACGGAGTCATTGTGGTCATTCACAGAGATAAAGGCTAAAAGGCCTGACCAGGGTCTGACAGGTGGCAGATGGTCTTTTCCTCCTTCTATCTTGCTGCGCCTTTATGCCATGTCTTATGCTTTTTTTTCACTTTTAAAAAATTGTGGTATATACAGTATAACACAAAAATACACATAACATAAAATTTACCATCTTAGCCATTATTAAGTGTACTAAATACATAATGTGCAACCATCATTACTCTCCAGCTCCATAACTCTTTTCATCTTTTAAAACTGAAATTCTATACCCATTCAATGATCATTCCCCATTCTCTCTCCTCCCAGCTCCGGGCAACCACTACGCTACTTTCTGTCTCTATGATTTCCACTACTCTAGCTGCCTCATATAAGTGGAATCATACCGTGTTTGTTCTTTTGTGACTGGCTGCTTTTGCTTGGTATACTGTCCTAAGGTTCATTTATGTTGTGAGTCAGAATTTTCTTCCTTTTTAAGGCTGACTATTCTATTGTAGTAGGGACCACATGTTGCTTACCCATTCATCTGTTGATGGACATCTGGGTTGCTTCTGTGTTTTAACTATTGTGAATAATGCTGCTACGAACATGGGTATACAAATATCTCTTCAAGACCCTGCTTTCAGTTCTTCTGGGCATATGCCCAGAAGTGAAATTGCTGGGTCACATGGTGATTCTATGTTTAATTTTTTGAGGAACTGCCATACTGTTCTCCACAGCAGCTGCACCATTTCACATCCCTACCAACAGCGCACAGGGGTTCCAAGTTCTCTACATCCTCACCAACACTTGTCATTTTGGGGTTTTTTGCTAGTAGCCATCCTAATGGGTGTGAGGCGGGCCACGTCTTATATTTTTGCATCACGCAGTAGAGCCAAGCTCAGAGGAAATGAACAATACTGGCATAGGTGGGCAATGTCCCCAGGGCTAGAGCAGCACTCACATGCAGAGGCATGTGCCCTGGCAGCGGGATGGGGTGTCCTGTCCAGGGCAAGGCTGCACACATCTATAAGATTCACAGGCCCAGGCAGATCAAACCCACTCAGGCCAGGCTGCTCATACACAATCTTCTTTCTGAAGGGAGCAAGCAGTATGTTCACTCTTCATTCCACCGAGTCCACTGGGAAAACAGAAACCACCCTAGGCCCTTCAAGCAGAGGGATTTAAACAAGGGATTTGGTTGTACAGGTGACAGAAGAGGTAGAGCAACCCAGATTAGCAACAGCAGGGAGTTGTCCCCTTCCTGGGGGTGGAAGGAGGCAATGTCTCTAGGAGCCTCGATGCTGAGGTCATCAGACAGAAACTGGAGCCACTGCAGGCCCCCCACAGGGAGCTGAGCGGTGCAGGACAGGGCTGATCAGCAGAAGCCAGAGGAGACACAGATAACCGCAGGGACATGGCCTGAAACAGACAGAGGGAAGAAATATCCTGGCTTTTCCCCTCCTCCCACGATCCACCTTCTTCCAGTGCCTCCTCTGATTGGCTGAACCAATGTAAAAGCCAGAAGGTAAGGAAGCCTGGGAAATGCAGCTCCCAGCAACACCAGACAGGCCAGGGAACAGGAGACAGATCTGGAGCCACCGGCAAGTGATCGACCCACTCATTCATCCTTTCACTTCCTCATTTGTTCGGTCAACATTTGTTGAGCACCCAGGTGCTGGGAACATGATGACAAACAAGAATTCTGGGTCCTGTCCTCACCAAGCTTAAGGCCAGCAGTGCCTGGACCGTACCCCTCACTGCCCACCCCTGTTGGCCAGGGGCACCCTGTCACCTAGCCTGGGGGCAAGGGCTGCTGCAAAGCTTCTGGGGGCCCCTGGGAAGCTCCCAGTGTACAGAGAAGATGGAGCTGGGCTCTGCTTAGGCTGTGGATGTGGTGGAGCAAGGAGCCCAGCTGGCTCTGCCTCCTCCTCAGCTGAAAGCTCAGCTCGGAACACAATGTCTCCAAAAAGAGAAGAAACCCCTTAAATCCCACTGTTTGTCTTTGGAGCCTGGGAAGCGAGGATCTAGTGAACATAAAATGTGCGGGCTGCTCAGAAGTTGTCTTTGAAACCTTCCCAGGCCGGCTTTGTCAAGGAGCAGCATTGCCTTTCAAAGCTGCCGGGCTCCAATCTCCCCTCTCCCCTCTCCCCACTCAACCGTAGCAGGCAACGGATAATCAGCGGGAGATGTTAAACGCTCCCTAATTCGCAGAAGTCCCCAGGCTTCTGGGGAACTGGTAGCAGGGCCAGCGAGCTGGGTGCCTCCATTCCTGCTCACCCTGCCTCACACCAGTCTCACCTCAGGCCGGGGACCTCTGAAGGCTGCTCCTCTACGTGAAGCTCCCTCCTCCCTCATGCTGGCCTGTGCTCAAACACACCTCTGCTTCCCAAGTTGTGTCTTCTCCTGGAATCTGCCTCTTCCAAGAAGACCTCCCAGACATAACACACAAGTGATGACCAACCACACCCTGGGTCTCTGCCCTCAACCTGGCTTTTCTCCACATCCCTCCCCCTGTGTCCAGGCCCAGGGGCCCCTCTCTGGTCACCACTCAGTGTAGCCTCCCTGAGGCAAAAGGTTTCCCCCTTACCCCCAGATGAAGTGAGCAGGTGCCCCTGGCCAAAGGGATGGGCAGTGCTAGGCTTTAAGCTTGGTGAGGATGGGACCCAGAATTCTTGTCATTTTCTCCCCAGCACCTGGGTGCTCCAGAAATGTAATGAATGAGTGAGGGAGTGAAAGGCTGATCATCTGCTGTGGCTCCCAGATCCACTGCCTGCTGTTCCCTGCCCTATTTTGTGCATTTCCCAGGCTCTCTTACCTTCTGGCTTCTGGATCCCTGATCCCTGAGTATTTACGCCAGCCAAGGGGAAGGACAAGTGAAAAAATCCACGGCTTCACCACACAGACATCCACAGATAGGCAGTCTGGCCCAGAGTCATAACCTGACAGTGACGTACTTTCTGTGACCTTGGATAAGGCACACCTCTCTCTGGGCTTCAACTCCTCATCTGTAAGGCAAGGGGGTTGTACTAGACCAGCAGTTCTCAAACTGGGATGTGCGTCAGAGTCACCCAGAGAGCCTGTTGAACATGAGTCACTGGGCCTACCCCCAGATTACTGACTCCGCAGAACCTAAGAATCTGCATTTTGAAGATGTCGTCAGGTGATGCTGATGCTTCTGGTCTCGGGGACTACACCAGGAACCAGTGGGCTGGCTGGCCGGATTTTAAGCCGTATTTGTCAGAGTTAGAAAGGGCTGCAGGATGCTTGCTTACTCACGGGTATGTAGAAGTGGTCATGGGGGTGAGCGTGCTGTGCCAAGCTCCCACCCACCTTAACACACGCATTTTGGCTTTAATCAGTTGTGTTTGTTTGCATGTGCAGGTAAGCGTGGTCAGAGCCGAGGTTCCACACATGAAGTGAAATGTTTGGAAACCTGTTGACTAGGCTAGAAGTCAGGTGGTCCCTTCGAGCCCTGACATTCCAGGGTCCCATGATCACTCCACACCCCTCCTGGGCTGTTCCTACTTCCCTTTTCTTTCTCACAGCCAAGGGGGGAGCAGCAAGAGCAAGACTCAGGATTTGGGTCTTTAATCTTAGGGGAGGAGGTGTGGGGACAGATGGAGAGGTGGGTCATTGTCCTAGGTCACTGTCATCAGTAGGTACATTTCAACCCAGCGATGTGCCGTGGAGTGAAGTGGAGTGAGCACACACTGCAGCACACACAAGGAGGCTACGTCCCACCTGAGTTGAGGAAGTTCCTGGAAAACCCAGAGTAGCTAAAGCCGCATTTGCATGTGCATGTGTGTGTCTGCATGTCTGCACATATGTTGTCTGTATAAACAAATAAGTCACAGAGAGGGAGATTTTAATTGGGATGATCAGGGTGCAGCTAGACTCTAAAGTAGAAGTCTCCTAGATGCTCAGAATTTTAGAATTAAACTAAAGACCTTTAATTCCAAACTGATATATCTGATGAAGAAACTGAGGTTCCTCTGGAGCAAGAACCAAGGTTTCTGACTCCCGAGTCCAGGCTCTGGCCCCTGATCTAGATGGATGTCAAAGTCTCTCCCATGTACCAGAATGACATCAGCTGAAATCAATGGATCATGGCAAATGGACAAAAATTTTCACAGAAAAGAATCCAAGGCAAACAAACTCCTTTCCAGCCCTGCTTGTCCCCACCCACATAGCCATTCCCTGGCCAGCTGCTCCCACGGCTGCCACTTCCAGGAGGGGGCCTGCACAGCTCCGTACCCAGCTGGGAGAGCCTGCATGGAGGCTGGGAAGGGGACCCAAAAGGTTACACAGACTGAGAGGTCAGTAGCAGGCCTGCTAGAGCCCCCTCAACAGTCAGAACTCACAGGCAGGCAGAGGGCACTGGGCAGTGGGGAGAGAAACAAAAGAAGAAATAGCACAGACCCTTTAAAGATAAGTGGGGTTCTCCAGACCCCAGAGCTGTACATGGATTGGAGTGAAAGACCAGCAGACAAGCAGCTAAGGAGCAGAGGGAGGGACAGACTGAGGGTTGTGTGTGCCTATGTATGCCTGGGTGCCTGTGTGTGACACACAACAGAGTGATTATCAGATCGGGTACCTGTGTTTGTGCAAACCTAAGAGAGACCAACAGACAGCAGAAAATTATGGAGGCTTAGGAAGAAGACACATGCGCGCGCGCACACACACACACACACACACACACACACAGAATGAGAGAGAGAGAGAGACAGAGACAAGCCGGATGTGGATAAGGCTGGGAACAGAAGAGCCAAGGGGAGCACCAGGAAGTGAAGGGCTGTCAGAGTGAGCCCGGTGCAGGCCTGTTTTTGTCTGTGATGGCAGGCTATGACAGAGGATGATGGAGCATGTCTGTGCATGTGTGCAGTGTGGGTGCATGCCCCAGTAATCTGGAGAGTGAGAAGACCATGGGCACCCTGCAGTCAACAGCCCACAGGACTGGACACCCCCAGAAGCATGTTCCTACACTTCTGGGACAAGGCTTCCTCACTGTCCCTTCCTTGGGATCTTTTCTAACAGTCCCCCTACCCCCAGCCACTACCCAGGTCCTCTCCTGCCTTTGCCTCCCACACTTGCCACCCTACCCCTCTGCTAGGGAGTTTCCTTCTTCCTCCCCAGGGGTTAATGTCACCAGAATATGACAGTCCCAGCCCTGGGACAATGATCTCTGCTTTGGGGAGAATGGATGGCATCCCAGTTGGTACAGCTCCAACCCTAGCCCCCCACCCCCACCTCACCTGTTTCTGTCCCCAAGCAGTGGATCCAGTACAGACCTTGGGTCCTACAATCCTGACATCAGAGTTCATCTCTGCCTCTTATACCACACGACCTTGAGCAACTTGCTTAGGCCTTCTCAAGCCCCCATTTTTTTCTGTTAATGAAGAAGAAGAATAGGGTTCTTGTGAGGATCAAATGAGCTAATGAGTTAACAAATGTGAAGCCCCTGGCATTGTGCCAACCACAAAGTAGGTACTTCCCTTTCTGGTCTCTTTAAGTCATGCTCCAAGAGGGTAAGTTTCTGTTAAAAATTCCCAGGGGCTTCCCAGGTAGCAGCATCTTCTTGAAATCCTGAAGGTCCAGGAACCAAGCAGCTAGGAAGAGAAATGTGGAGGGGGATGCAGAGAGGGAAGCAGGCACTGCTGGGGACCGATATGACAGGAACCAGGGACCAGATGAGTAGACTCACCTCCTCAGTCTTCTCCTGCAGTGACAAAGAAGCCCCTGCCCTATCAGCAGCACCTCCAGGGACACAGGAGGCAGAGGTCAGGAAGGGAATTCAGGGGATGGTGTGCCCATGCCCCGTCTCCTTGCACTTCCTTAATTCCGAAAAGAGAGAGCCAACAACCAGCCCCAGATTAGACATATCTGAGTGCACGGTCACCCCATACTGCTCAGCACCTGACTGGGAGGAGACGGGAATGGGAAGGAGACTTTCTCCAAAGGGCTCTTCATGGGCTTCCTTTCCCTGTTTAGACGATCAAGAGCCAGGGGTGTCCTGCTCATCACCACCATGTGGTCTAATGCAGAGGAGCTACACCATTCGCTCCCTCCCCAAAACTCATTTGTCGAAAGCAGCATACACGATAAATATATAATGTGGGCCAGGTGCGGTGGCTCACGCCTGTAATCCCAGCACTTTGGGAGGCTGAGGAGGGTAGATCACTTGAGGTCAGGAGTTCAAGACCAGCCTGGCAAACATGGTGAAACCCTGGCTCTACTAAAAATACAAAAATTAGCCAGGTGTGGTGGTACGCACCTGTAATCCCAGCTACTCAGGAGGCTGAGGCAGAAAGATCACTTAAACTCGGGAGGTGAAAATTGCAGTAAGCCGAGATTACCCACTGCACTCCAGCCTGGGTGACAGAGCGAGACTCCATCTCAAAATAAATAAATAAATAAATAAAGTGTTTTATTCGTTCCTTCATTCCTCTAAGGAGGCAGTAGAGCACAACGGCTAAAAGCATGGACTCTGGAGCCAAACTGCCTGGCTTAAATCCCAGCTCCACCAACTGATGGCTGTATTACCTTGGGCAATTTACTTAACCTCTGTGTAGCTCAGTTTCCTCATCTGTAAAATAGCGACAATATCAATAGCTACCTCATAGGGGTATTGTGAGGTTTATATGTGTATGTCAAGTGCTCAGAACAATGGCTGACATGTAACAAAAACTAAGCAAGTGCTAGCTGCTATTGTCATGTACTCGGTCATCAAGAAAGTATTGAGCACGTATGTCAGGGTCAATTCCAGGCTCCAGATCCCATAAGGAACCATCCAGATGCAGCCTCTGCTCTCATGGAGCTTACATTTTTGTGGGAGAGACAAACGTTCACTAATCGTGTAAAAATAACAAACCGTGACGAGAGCTACAAAGATCAGGATGCAGAGCCCTGAGGAGTGCCTGTAGGGCACTAACTGAGATTTGCAGGTCAGGGAGGAGCTCTTGGGGGTGACGCATGTCCCTGCCAGGTCTGACTATCCTGAGGGTGCCATCAGCATCAGCAGGCACCCAGTGGGGACAAAGCCCAGCCTGTGCCCTTCACAGGCCTGGCCACAGCATGTGTCTGCTCACACCCTCAGTGTGAGAAGCCCAGGCAACACCAACACTCCTACATGCTATCTGCCACCTGCCACTGCCCCACCTCTGGGTCCCAAGGTGGCCTGGGAACAGAACCAGGATTCCTGCTCCAAGTCCTCACGTTATCCAATCAAGAGCAGGCACTGTCCCTGTGGGATTTCCTGGCACAATCTGGCCACCCTGAAGATCCCAGCTCCCCCTCAGGAGTCCCACTACCTCCTGTAGAGACTGTGCTCAATCTGACCCCCAGCCAGGAAGATGAAGCAATGGATTGTCCAAGGTGCCTTACAGTTCGTTCAGCAAATGTTTCCAGGTGTCTCATTCTATCACCACAACTTCATGCAGTGTTGTGATTATTACTACACCTATTTTACAGGTGAAAAAACAGACTCAGAAAGGATAAGTCACTTTCCCAAGGTCACAGAGCTTTTAAGTGGAACAGCTAGGACTCCAACCCACGTCTGCTTGATTGTGGTCTTTGAAATAACATGAGTGACTATAATAATAGCTAATCCTTCTACAGCACTTTCTACGTGACAGATATCAGTCTATAAACTTTATATATTTAAATCATTTCATCCTCATAATAACCCTATGAGGTAGGTGCTATTGTTATTCTCATTTTACAGTTGAGGAAACTGAGGCACGGAGAGGCTAAGCCACCTACCCAAGGCCAGTTAGATGAGACGTGAGGCAGAGTCACCATGAGGAGAGTCAGAGAATGGTGGCACTGGGAACGGCCTTAGCAGCCCTCAGTCAGAGGCCCAAGGGGAGGACAGGACGGACTCGAGCCTGTGGTGGAGCAACCCTGCACCCCCGGTGGCGCCTGCTGCTCCACGCGCTGCCTCACTGACCATCCATCTCCAAGGATACAGGGGTCTAGGTTGCCCTTGGAGTCTGCCAACCCCTCCCCCTTCAGTTGGCCCACACTAGTGAGGGCACGGGCACAGCCTTGTCCCACTCCGTCTCCCTTCACCCAGCCCTGTTGCCCCCATCAGGAGACAGCCCTCTGCAGCAGACTCAGGTCTGGCTGAGAGTCCAAGGCTGCCCCACCTACAGTGGCGGAAGAGGAGAAGGAGAAGGGTTGGCTCATGGCCAGCTCAGAGGCCTCAGGAAGGGTGGTGGAGAGCAGCAGAGAAGCCCCTCCACTCCACTCGGGTCTCTCTCTCCAGGGGACCTTGATCCGGCACAGTGGGCCTATCCTAAAATACCGGGCCCCAGAGCGGGGCAAAGGGCACCCTTGCAATATCATAGCTTCCACCCAGAGAAGGGTGCAGACCACGACTCTCCCTTGTCCCAGATACCACTCCCCCTCCCCCACCCCAACTCCAGAGACACCTCTGCCCTTCTCAGAGCCAGTCCCTCTCCCAGGCCCTTCTCTGTCCTTCTCACCACAGCTCAGGAAAGGGCGTGGGGTGAAGGACACGGGCAAGGGGTAAGGATTCAAGGCAGCAAAGTACTTGGGAAACTAGAGAATTCCTCTGGCTTTTGTCTTTTAACCAATGGCACCATCCTGGCACCGCCACCTGAAACCCATGGGGGTCTCCGCCGCTTTGGCCTGCATGCTTTCTATGAGCTTAGCCACCTCTTCCCTAGCAGGGAGGGGGAATAAGAAGAAGGTTTGTTCAAGAGCTGCCCCTGGCCGGGAAGTGGAAAGACCCCTCCAGCTGGGCTAGGCAAGGTAGAGCGGAGGGAGAGAACACGGGAGTGGAGGCAGCACCTGCCACAACCCATCAAGGTGACCCTGGCTGTTTCTCTCCCTCCTGCAGGTCCCCAGACACAGCTCTCCAGAGGTCTAGTGTAGAGGACAGAGCGAGTGCACAGACAGAAAGGAACCCTCAGGGCGAGGCTGGGAAAAGGCCCCAGGATGGGAAGGCAGGGCAGACGGCTCGTTGTGGAGGGGCTGTAGGTCCCACCTTCAAGTTGCACTGAAGCACCTTGAGGGGGCCTTGTGCTGAGCTGGCTTGTTTCTGTCTCCCAGCTGGACCACAAAATGGGAGGAAACATCCCATAAAGTTGCCAAGCTGCCTCTGTGGCCGGAAGTGCTGCCAGGGGCTGCTGCTTCCCTCTCTAATTGCTCTTAATTTCTATGATTTGCAGGTCTCAGGCTCACGGAGGGCTCATTCCCCATTGTGATGGATGGGCAGGCACAGTCAGCCTGGTGAGTCAGCCCCTGCAGGCTCCGATGTGGCCCAGCCAGGTCCTGCAAGGTATAGGGCACCCACCTTTCTCCTCCTCTACCTGGGCCCAATCCAGAACCCTGGGCCACAAGCCCCCACTGGAGCTCCATCCTTTCCCGTTTCACCTTTACAGGAGGGTCCCGTGGCCCTTCACACAACAATAGGATGAGGAGAGATGATGCACTTGGGACCCGGGCTCAGGTTGGAGCTCTGTCATGTACCTCTGGGAGCCCCTCCTAGGGCCCGGCACATAGTAGGTGCTCAATAAATACAATGATCCTCCACTGCACTGCTGACCTACAGGGGACTCGGCCTTATACCACGTGAAACTTGGATATCTCCTTGTGACAGTGACTGAGGTACAACTGTGGAGTCAGGCTGCCCCTATTTGAATCCTGAATACGTGACTGTCAAAGTAAACTTGGGCAAGTTACTTAGCTTCTCTGTGCCTCGGTGTGTTTATCTTTAAAATGGGGGTAATAACACTACCCACCTTACATCCATCTTTGTGTGAAAAAGTTCAAGTATGTTGTGATAGGCAAAATAATGGACCTCAAAGCTGTCAGCACCCTAATCCCCAGGACCTGTGAATACGTTGCCCTGAGTGGCTAAGGGACTTTGTGGATGTGCTTAGAGAATGGCCCTTGATATGCAGAGAGGATCCTGGATGCTCTAGGTATCCCCGACCTAATCACATGAGTCCTTAAAGCAAAGACCCCATCCTGGCTGGGTTAGAGAGACAGGCGATAACAGAAGCAGCATCTGAGAAAGAGATGCACCATTTGCTGGCTTTGAAAATGGAGTGGGGAGGGGAGCCACAAACCAAGGAAGATGGTGGCCTCCAGAAACCAGAAAAGGCAAGGAAGTGAAATCACCCCTGGAGCCTCCTGAAAGGAACACAGCCCTTCCAACATCTGGATTTTTGTTTGTTTGTTTGTTTTTGTTTTTGAGATGGAGTTTCACTCTTGTAGCCCAGGCTGGAGTGCAATGGCACGATCTTGGCTCACTGCAACCTCCGCCTCCTGCATTCAAGCGATTCTCCTGCGTCAGTCTCCCAAGTAGCTGGAATTACAGGTGCCCGCCACCACGCCCGGCTAATTTTTTTGTATTTTTAGTAGAGATGGGGTTTCACGATGTTGGCCAGGCTGGTCTCGAACTCCTGACCTTGTGATCCACTTGCCTTGGCCTCCCAAAGTGCTGGGATTACAGGCGTGAGCCACCGCGCCTGGCCTCACGTTCTGGATTATTAGCCCAGTGAGACTTGTGTCAGACTCCTAACCTACCACAGAGCTACACGATAATACATTTGTGTTGCTTTATGCCATAAGTTCAATGTATAAAGTTTGTGATAATTTGTTACAGCAGCCACAGAAAACGAATACCTATGTGTAAGCACTTAGAGCGGTGTCTCTGGCACACAGTAAGAGCTCAAGAAATGCCAGCTCTCTGTTATTATTATTATAGCACTGCGGTCACACAGGGGAGAGGACATTCAGTTGCTCCACTCCAGGGCAGTTTCTCTCTGGTGTGAACTCCTCAGAGCCCACAGCTTGCTTCACTGGGTACTGGAGACCAAAGGCAAGACCAGGGGGGCAGGGACATCCTCAAAACAACACGTCACTCAGCACAGCCACTACGTGGGCATCAGACAGATGATCAGACTCCGTCCCTTTCTTCTAAAGAACAGGAGTGTGGGCACCCTGGAAGAAAGGGGTGGGAGTGCCTGGCACAGGCATGATGACATTCCTATAGCTGTCAGTGCAGAGAGGACAGCCCCGGGGCTTAATTGCACCCTATCCTATCCTCACACAACTGGGGCTGCCAAGGAGACAGAGTGGCTGGGGCAGGCGTGGCCATTTAAATGGTTTGCCATCCAAACATCGTACCTGCTGGGCTATGGGGGGATGGGCAAGGCCTACAGTAGGAAGGACTTTGAGTCAAACAGAAGGAAAGTGGGATTCCTCAGAGGATCCAAGAGAATGGGAAGGGCTGCTTCTGAACAGCGGTGGGCTGGCAGTGGGACCAGGCAGACAAAACGGTCTCCAGAGGCTCAGTCCTTGATGGGTTGTGGGACCCCCTCACAGAGCAAGCCCCTCCCAATGCCCACTCCCACGGTCCCCTCACTCTGTCACCCCCCAACCAAGTGAAAGGGAGGCTTTGCCCCCACAGAACCCCCAGCCTGCCCACCTCCCCTTCATCCTTGCAGAAGCCTTTCGTCTCGAGTTTTCCTCCTCAGTGACCCCCACATCCTCCCTGGCTACGGGGGGGCCTCAGAACTCTGTCCCCAACAGATCTTCTACCTCTGAAGGCCCAGTGAGGTCCAATTTGGTGACTCCTCATAGTCCTTAGTCCTAGGGTAAGAGCCTTTACCTCAGACAAGACTGAGTCCAACACAGAAACCAGACTGTCTGCAATACCCAGGAGACAAGGGCCACTGGCATTAGACCTGTGCACAAGAGCTCCCTTCAACAGCAAGTTCCCTGAGGGCAGCCTCCATGCCTCTCTAGTAGGCCCACAGTAGTAAGGGAACAACCACTACAGAGCCTGCAGCCTCTCACAGAGGGCCCTGGAGAAAACCCAACCCCTTGCCATTTCCCCCAAGAGGGGAACTTGGCAGAGAGAGCCACTCCAAAGAGACCACAGGAGTGAGCAAGGCTGGGGAGCAGGAGAACCACCACTCCCAGGGGTACCTTGAATGCAGCCAAAGGGCCCACTGTCACCATGGACCCACCCTTCTCCCCACCAACCTCCCTTGATGCATTCCCACTGCTCTCTGCCCCACCTCCACGTTCATGGACCACAGCACTTCTCCCTGATCCTGCTTCCATAGCCTTTATCCTCCACCTCCGAACTCACAATCTCACTTTCTGCTAAAGAAACTCCCCTTCCCATCTCCCCTCAACTCCAACTCTAATCACAGGGCCACTGCTAGTCCCTGTGATAACTTTGTGCAAATTAGAAAAAGTGCCTCTTTCTCCAGGTGGATGCAGGCCTGATGAGAAGAGCATAGGCTGGATTTCAGCCCCCAACTCCTTCTTGGCCAGGTGTCCTTGCACAGTGCACAACCTAGCCACCTGCACACAGTAACCCAGTTTGACAGACGCAGGGAGTACACCGATTGAAGGGCCTTGATAGACAGCCCAGCCATGGAGACCCAGGAGAGTGGACTAATTTATCCATGGTAACAAGGCAAGCTGGTGGCACAGTCAAGGTCGAAGATCCAGGTGTCATGACTCCCAATCCAGTGCTCATTCTGTCTCCCCACTCCACCTACATTTCACTCTTGGGAACAAATGGCAAACCCAAGAGAGCAGAAGCTGTGAAAGCAGCGCCTGGGGAAGCCTTCTTGCACTAATTAGAAGAGAAGTGATAACCTCATCTCAAGCACTGTCTAGACATAAAATTGAACATAAAACTTTCTGAACCGAGTACCACCTAACCCTTGGCTGGTGTGGAACGTAAATACAGATCGTCCCTATTTATTTCCCATCTACCAACCACATTAATCTCATGCTACTTCATTGTGAGTATGGCCCCTATGTCTGTCTAGGCCAATATATCTGTCTTGGCCTGGAAGCACCCAGATGGAGTTTCCAGCTTGCAAGGAACCCCTGAACACACTAGTGCTGAGAAGATGGCTTTTCATTCAGGTGAAGGTGAGGGCAACAGTGATGAAGAAGAAAGGGGGTGGGAGGGGAAGGAAAAGGTGGGGAGGAGGAAGAAGAAAGGCAATTCCTGATGTCTTAATTTCATATCCAATCTTCCCCATTGCCTCTAACACCACTGAGCTCTGCTTCCCAGAAACGGTGGTGAAGATACACACACACGCCTGTGCATTCTTACTTCTCTCTGTGTTTTTTCTCTCTGTCTCCATCTCTCTCTCTCTGGGCAGTGCCTGCAATATAATGTGGTGATTAAACTCAGGCAGAGCCAGGCTTCCTGACTGTATATCAGGCGTTACCACCTCCTCGCTGTGGGACTTCAGGCAAGTGCCTTAACTTCTCTGTGCCTCAGTTTTCTTTTCAACACAATGGAGATAACAACAAACATGACCTCATAGAGTTTCATGAAGATTATGAGAGTGAATATACGTGCAATACTTAGTACAGTGCCTGGTTAAGGAGGTATTCTGTAAGTACAAGCTGTAACTATCTCAGGGTGCTGTGTTTTTGGCATCTCGTCCTGGCCCCTTTTTCATGCATTTGGGATGGGGGTGGGGAATTGTCCAGGTTGCTGGCACAGTTTCCAGCTCAGTATTCTAACAGTCAGCAGAGATGGGCTGCCTGGAGAAGAAGTGAGCTTCCAGTCACTGGAAGTGATCAAGCAGAATCCAGATGAGCATTTGACATGGATATGGCAGAACAGGTGAGGAAGGAGGCGGAAGGCCTCTTGCAAAATTCCTTCCTGAGAGCCTGGGAATGTGTGAGTAAACCCACATCTCCAGGCACCTGCGTGGGCACAGCCTTGCCCGCAAATGAGGACACACGTACAGGGGCACACTCTCTGCCCTGGCATTGAGGAGCAAGAAGAAGTGTTATAAACCAAGCAAGCCAGCACCCCCACCTATGCTCTCCCTAGCCCCCAGCCAATTCCTGTGTGCACACAGGCATCCAGGTGGTGAGCGGAAGCTTTGAGGGTGGTACCAAGTATTTATCACTCCTAGCTCTCTTTTAACGGGTACCAACTGCCAGCCACACCCCAACCACCACAGCCCAGTTATGAGGCAGGGCTGGGGGCAGGAGGCAGGAACGGGTTAGATAGTAGGGTGTTCGTTCTACTTCTGATGTGGGTGGACTGATAGGGAACCTGGGAAAGTCCTGGCCTCCAAAGATCAGGGTGCCCAGAATTCAGGTGTTGTGGGAGGGAAGGCCTTTGCCCATCACGGAGGGAATCAAGCAGGCATTTGTAGAGGGGCCGGGCACCCCACCTCCAGCAAAGGCTCAAATTCAGCTCCACCTTCAGGTCCAAGCAGCTTCCTTTAGGGGTAGGATAAGAAGAGAGATTGCGGAAATCCTTACTGCCTAAACTCTCCTGCCCTGGCCTTCTCCTCTCCTCGCCGCACCGCGCACAGTCTCCAGCCCTCCTTCCGCTGGGAGCCGCGCCCCCATTAGCCATTCCGCGCTGATAAGCTCGCGCGGCCGCACACTCAGACCCTCCCTCAGCCCGCGATGCATTACTGCATCTGATTTGTCTTTGCAGCAGCTGCCACAGCAGCTCTTCCTTCCTAACAATATTGGCTTCGCCTGATATTAAAAAGGGGCCGTAAGTGCCACCGAACATCTTTGCTGGGGAGAGGAGACCGCACACTAGGGGGATGGGGAGGCGGGCCCGCCCGGAATGAGCCTTTTGCTGCGGATTCATCCAAAGGCCGATGGTCCACTGGCAAAAATTAGGCAGAGGGTGAGGCGAGGGGTTAGGGAGGAGACGAGAGCCAGGAGGGGG